TTACTTTCATTAAAAAATAATCCAGCCACCAAGCCAGGACAGATGAAATTAATTATGACTCTCCCCTTTAATTAGTTTAGCGGTGGACTTGGTAGTGTAGGTTAATGGTTGGACTGGATGATCTGAAAGGTCTTTTCCAACCTAAACAATTCGATGATTCTGTTCTATGATTCTGTAGGTAAAATCAGCCTTAACCTGCACATTCTTAAGCTGTTTATTCAGAAGGAAGATGCCAAAGGGTTAAACATGTGTGTTAATCCCAGAGTTGGTCTCCGTGTGACCTTTTGGCTGGAGAACTGGAATCTTAAACACTTTGAGCTGCTGTTAAAGTTTTGGCTCAGTGAGCAGCATTGTCAGGATTACATATTAGTTTAAGGCATGCGAAAGTATGGAATAAATGGGTTTGGACAGTCCGTTTCTTGAAGCAGTATGGTCTAGGCTCAGGAGGTGGATTAGGAGAACAGAAGCTGCCTGAAACGTTGAAGCTGAGGGTTGCAGGTCATTTCAAGCGTGGAGTGAGCTCACATCGTGGTGGAGGGGAAGGAAGGCATCACTGGTAGCGCGGAAGAGGAGCAGGTCTCTTCTCGGGTGCCTTTCAGATGCCAACACCTGGTGCCTACCTACACATCTCCTGTTTCGCGGGGGAAAGTGGAGCAGGAGATGAAGTATCTGGCTTGGCAGGTTGAGCGCTGGAGGAAGCCCGCTTTTCCTTCATGAACAGGGATGAGAGGGCAGGAGGAGGAGGTTTGGTCTGGGAGCTGCAAGCCCTGGGTTCTGGTGGAACATCGGAATGGTCATGTCGGTCCCCTCCGTTCTAGTCACAGCTGCAAAATTATTTCTCTTGCAATTTTTGCCCTTCTTTAAAAAAAAAAAAAAAATTCATTTTATCACTTGGCGTCATAGATGGATGAGAAGTTTTTTTCCACTGGGAAAAGACTTTCCAGGCAGTTTGCCACATGAATAACCAAGTAGTGGCAGCTCTTGAAGACCACAAGCTTGACCTGCTGTTTCATACGTGAATAGATGGATTTTAATTAGCTCCATAACTTCCTTTTTATTTCCCAAGTTCGTTGCAGGTGGATTTGCAAGCTGTTAGCAATGCCGGAGAGCTTGTGCATCTTAGTCGCACAGAAAGATGTTGTTTTCTCCCTTTGTTCCTTTAAACAAACAAAAAAAATCCACGGCTAAGAATAAATTTAAGACGCTAGCACTACAAAAACGCTGCGCTCACAAAATTTAAAAGTTCAGAGAATTTTGAAGGCTGGTTCCTCTTGCACATTGCAGAAGGGGTGGGGATTTCATAGCTGTTACAGTATTTTAAGGTTTCATTGAGCAATTTTTAAAAAGAGTAGAAAATGTTACAAGCCTACGGCATGGCTAAACTTAACGCAGAGGGAGGCTGCAGTAAGGTTGGTCTCCAACCATGATTAAAAAGTAGATGTTAATCATGCATGGTTTATTAAATTATAGAATCCTTCAGATTTCTCTAGGATTGAACATGGTTCTCCCTGGTTTTATTTGAAGATTGAGCCCAATTACGACTGATATACAACTTCCAGAAGATACCTGAGCTGTGGACTGGAGGGGCAAGAACTAACTTTATTTTTAGCATTTTTATAGAATAGAGGTTCTTAATTTTAGTGTCTTAGACTCAGTTTTTACTGAAAAAAGCGCCCCACCCCCCCCCCCCAATAAAAAATTTTTTTTTCCCCCAAAAAAAATGGTATTTGATTTAAGTATCTTGATGTGATAACCTACTGGAAAAAGTAGTTTGTGCTTTGGTGGTGTGAGCTTCATACCCCTTTTCCAGGCTTTTCTTAGTTTACACTGAGCAAAAGTAGCATCTCCCTTAGGATTTTGCGTGAAAAGGATCATCAGTAATGTTAAAAATTACAAACTTACCTTGAAAACACATCTTTGGCTTTAGTATCAGTTGAGGCAAATGGTGCCAATCCCAGTCTCATATTTCCTGACATATTTCCATATTGGGAATAATCCATATTTCCATTTTCCAATTACTTTACAGATCCAATAAAGTTGGGAATTCTGGGGTTTTTTTCCCTTCACGGAGCAGGTGTTGCTTTCATATAGCCCAGGAATTTTTAGTTTTTTAGTGGATTCCTGGAAATCTGCTATGGAGATGTAAAATGCCATCGTGGCTCATGCCTGTTTGCAGAAACGCCTTGGAGGAGCACTTGCAAGCAACGTTTCCCTGGCAGCATTTTACCCATCGTGCTGTACCATCCACTGGACAACAGCGACAACTGTTGAGGAGCAATACTATATCAAATCAACGCAATATTATATCAGATCAGTGGTAAATTATTTCTAAAGCACGTGTATATAATAATACACAGAGCTGGGGGGAGCTTTTTTTTCATATTTAGTTAGAATTGGTGTTGAGGTCAATTGGCGATGCCCCGTCGCTTCCCAACTGTCTCTTCTTTGGAAGCAAATGTTGAGGTTCTTGATGGGAATTGTCTTGGGTACATTGTCAGGGACAAAACTCTTTGGATAGTGCCAACTACTACATAAAAATAAAATAAAAAAAAACCGCTGCCCTGCATTGGGTCTGCTCGGTGACTGGTAGCAAAGCATCGCGTTCCCCAAACCTTGCTGCTGGACAAGCATCCCTCTGGGGTTATCCACAGCGTTTTTCCTGCTTCAGTAGGTACCTGCATTTTTTTAAGACTAGACATAAGGAAGAAATTCTTCACTGTGAGTGTGGTGAGACACTGGCACAGGTTGCCCAGAGAGGTGGTAGATGCCCCCTCGCTGGAAACATTGAAGGCCAAGTTGGACGGGGCTCTGAGCAGCCTGATCTGGTTGAAGATGTCCCTGCTCATGGCAGGGTGTTGGGCTGGATGACCTTGAAAAGTCCCTTCCAACCCAAAGCATTCTATGATTTGATGATTCTAAGAGGAACGGTCCGACGTGGGAATAGCAGGATGTGTGTTGGAATCTGAACCCTTCCAAGGACAGACTCTGCACTTGCTGCCGTGGGGGACGGAGCGGGGACCGGCATAATTAAAAACCACTTTGCCATCTAACAAATGCCTTCGTTGTTTTAGTTGCTCATTAGTTAATTTTCTTCTAATGAGGCTCTGTTAACGTAATCATCTGACATTGGGGAAAAAGAAAGTAGGGGGGAGAACCCAAGTTAAAAAGAGCCTAATTAGCAAGTTAATTATAGCGAGCAGGGAAATGTTCTGGTTATATAAATAAGCTATTGTTATGCACACACAAGCCAGGCCACGTTAAAAACTGCCGCTAACCGTCTAGAGGTCAGGCAAACGCTGTAATTCAACATAAAACAGAAGTAGGGCTTGTTCGGCGGGATGCCTCATTAAGTCTTGGGGACCTTTCCTGCCAAAAAAAAAAGGGAGTCTGAAAATCCGAGCGGTTCCCCTTCCCTCCCTTCCTTCCTCCCTCCCTCTGCCTCCACCCCGCAGCTGAAACCAGAGCGGGCAGGATCGGGATCGGCGGGGCTGGGAGGTATAAATGGGGGGGCAGCCCTTGCCCCCGTGGGAAGACGGTGCGGAAGGGCTGTCGGTGATGCCGTCATGCCGAACAAGAAGAAATACAACGTGAACGGAGATTCGGGGATTAAAGCCCAGGTGAGGGCAGTCTTTAGTACCGTAATATCATTTTTCTATTTAAAAATACATTTGTTTTTCTCTACCCCCTTTTTTTTTCCCTCCTTTCCTTGCTCTTCCCCCCAGTCACTTCTTTCTGGAGCTGACTGCATCCCCTGCTTAGGGAAAATCCCAGTCTCCGGAAGACTTCTCTTCATTTTCTCTTGGGAGCAGGAGGTTTGAAACGGTGAAGTGCTGAGCCAAACACGTTGCTCTGGGGTTGTTCTTCGGAGCACTGATGGGTTTGCGAGCAGGGAGATTGCCCAGGAAAACCTCGGCCAGCGAGACTTTTTTGCTTGGTGAAGTAGCGTAGAGCGGCTCTTCATGGAGGAACCCCTGGGTCAACCTGAGACTTAGCTTATTTGAAATGTAATGAGCATGTACCTACGTTTAGAAGTCATTAACCCCTTGTGCCTTTGGAGGTGAGGTTTTT